TTTTGAAAATGTTCCGGAAATACTGCGTCCTTTAAACATATATCAAATTAAAGCTTATTTTATGTACTATAAAATGAAAAAAAAAAATTTGTCCCGACACCTTATCTACTATGTGTAAATGGCTGTCGAAAATTAAAAAAAAATGTAATGTTTGCGATAAAAATCACCTTTTATCGGGATGTTTTATGTACTTAAAACTGCCATAACTTTTTCAAATATTAACAAATAAAAATAATATTTTTTTATATTGAAACCTTAGGTAATTTCCTTTCGTTTGATATCATTTTTTTCGAAAATCTAACACTTATTCTGCTCACAGGGGGGATNATATGCTATTATAACAAATTTTTTTTTTTAATTAAACACTATCTACAGATTTGCACCGAAGCGTTTTTTATGATAGTGATTTTAATCACTGTCAGATATCATCTATACTGGACCCAACTATGCCACGACCCCACTGTGCCGTCACCCCACTGTGTTAGGTTTTTTTTTACTTAAAATTGCCATAACATTTTAAAAAATAACTAAATCAATATAATTTTATTTTATAGATGCTTGATGTCTTTACCTATCATTTGGTATATTTTTTTTATAAATTTAACCCTTTACCAGCCCATAGGGGGGATTCAAAATGACAACTTTTTCACAAAAAATTAACTTTTTCAACTTAACTTTTGAAAGTGTTCCGGAAATACTGACACTTTTATATATATCTTAAATTAAAGCTAATGTAATATACTTTATTATTTAAAAATAAAATTTCGGACTTTATTTTGTCTTCACGATGAAAATGGCTTCTGTATGCTATTTTTGTGTTAAAATTCTCGATTTTACATTTTTAATTTTAAAATGTTATAACTTTTTGAAAAATGTATGGATCAATACAATTTTTTTATAAGAAATAATATTTATATATTTCTTTCATTCGACATACTATTTTTTTTAAATCGGACCATTTCCCTTAATACAGGGGGGGTTCAAAACATAAAAATGCATATAGAAAGTAGAACTTTTTCAACTTAATTTTTGAAAGTGTTCCGGAAATACTGACACTTATATATATATATATATATATCTGAAATTAAAACTTATGTAATATACTTTAATATTAAAAAAAAAAAATTGGACTTTATTTTGTCTTCATGGTGAAAATAGCTACCGTATTAAAAAATATGCTAATTTTGTGTTAAAATTTTTGGTTTTGTAATTTATTTTATTATAAAGGGATTACACTGATTTTCATAAATATTATATCAATCTAATTGACATAGTATAAAAAATTAAACGTATTTACATTTTTTTGTTTCTTTAAAGTCGAGAAAAATAACTTTAAAATTTGAACTAACTATATTTCCATTTTTATTAAGTGACGAATGAGACGTACGGTTTCTGAAACTGTAACACTTGGGCCTTTCATGTCTGTGACATTGAATTTTTTCTTAATTCTTTTTGAGTTAGAAAAAAATGTTAAACTCATTTGATTTTTATCTCATTTAGATTCAATAACTTCAATAAATATCAAGGATCCCATTACTGTAGTCTCCTCTCGTGAGAAGAAATTCATTATAAATATTATTTTACTATTTGGTTTTTTTTTTTTGTAGCTATCATTTATTTTCTCAGCTCTCACTTGACCTACTTTTTTGACAAATTTCTTTTTTTAAATTAAAAACTATCTACAGATTTGCATCGAACCGTTTTTTATGATAGTGATTTTAAACACTGTCAGATATCATCTATACTGGACCCAACTATGCCACGACCCCTTTGCCGCCACCCTACTGTGCTGGGTTTTTTTTTTGTTCGCTTTAATTTTATTATGATGTGTTTTTTTTTTTTTTTTGGTCCTGTTGCCACTTTTCTCAGCTAAATTTTGATATTTTGTAAATTTTGATATTTTTTCACTTTTTTTTCTTAAAACTGCTAGAACTTTTTGAAAAATGGTACATCAATATACAATTTTTTTATATTAAAACCTTAGATATTTCCCTATCATTTAATATCATTTTTTGAAAATCCAACACTTATCCTATTCACAGGTGAGGATTTAAAATAACAAATTAATATCAAAAGATATCATAAAAGTAAGTCTGGAATTATTAATAATTTATTTAAAGTATAATTATTTTTTAAACTAAATAGTTTAACTTAGCTTTAACTTATTAACTCATTTATGACCAGCTATATGTAAAAGTATTAATTCAATATTTAACATACAAATCCAAAAAAAAATTATATCGATATTAATAATTAAATTGAAATGAAAATTTTTAGAAAACAATACATTAAATCTATATCGAAGTCATGAAATCATTATATTAAATATTATATTAATTAGCTAAATCGAAATAAAAATTTTAAAAATTAATTCGACTTCATGCTGTGGTTTACATTTCAAAATTCAAAAAGTTTTAAGCTCAACAAATTATTAACCTTAACGTCTCTGTCTAATATTCTGGATTTAAAATAGTATGAGATTAAAATAAGTAAACAAAAAATAATAAGTTTGTTTAAATCAACTATTTTGATTTTATTCATGACATTTATTTCATTAACAATTCATTAATAAAGTATATAATCAAGTAGATATTTAGGATTGTAATGATTTAGCACATCAAAATATTTATTGTCATCATTATTTATTTCATCATTTTCATCATTTGAGCTATGACTATCATGTTTCTTTATGTCGTCTGTATTAACACCAGGAAAATAATATGGCTGATATGTGTTTTCATGCTTTCCTAATTGTTCTAAAAACAAAATTTTTAATTATAATATTCATGCAAAATAACTATATATATATTTTTATTGTCCATAGATTAATAATTTAAAAAAATAACAGTAGCGTTACTAAGGAGGGCTATAGCTTCGCCTTAGGTAAATTATTAATGTTATATAATTTTGAAGCTTTAATAAGTATTTTCTTATAATTTTCATATTAGGTCAATCCCGTATAAATAAACCCAACCTTATAAGGCAGATAACTTAATTATTTTGAATTATAACATACATATTTAACTATCTTATAAAATAGAACATAATGTATTGAAGAAAATGAATGCTCTACAATATCTTTTGAATCAGTATTTCAAGGGTTATTAACACTTTAAGTTATTAACTAGACTGATGATGCTATTTTTATTACTAATAATTTCTTGGCTTCCCCGTCAAAGTATAAATATGTTTATAACTTCTAAAATATTCGTTCAATGTTGATCGACCTGTCTTTTTTAATTACATCATTTTCTTTTAAGCAAGTTAAATATACAGTGTTCAAAATCTGGTAAGACACTCATTTTTTTAGAAATTACTAAGAGTTTAAAATGTTTGTAAAAAAAAAAAAATCAGGTTCAAAAAACATTACAATGGTTATATTTAATTAGTAGTTAAATCATCTATGTTTTCGTCCCTTAAGGTATAAAAGTTTGATTTCTGCTAAAATAAGTTAAAATAATTTACCTAATATTTTTTAAGAACCCCTAATTTATAGTGCTCTATTAAGAACGAAAACTTAGGAAAATGTTATAAATAATTCCACTACTACATAATGTCATTTTTAAATGGTAAATTGTTATTTTTAATAAAGGATCAATAATTGTTATCGGCCAGTCATTTAACTAATTAGATCGTTATTTTTTTATAAGCTAGAGTAATATACATGTTGTTTTAAAAAAAATTAAATTCAAAACCCTATAAGATATAAGAGGTGGACTTAATAATTATTTTATAACAGATTAATAAAAATACATTTGTAACTAACAAATGCCAACAATTTTCTCAAAAAATATATTATTTTAAAAACAATCAAAAAGTAAACATTTTAGATGAAATTTATCAAAAATAATTCCAACATTTCATTAAGATTAAAAGAGTCATAAAATTTTATGATTAATTTCGTCAAGTATTAAACATTATGTGTGGCATATATAAAATATGATCCAAATTTGGTAATTTTTTAATAATCTCAGAACGACTGAGAATTTTAAATATTTATAAAAGGTAATATTATTCAATTCAAAAATTACAATAATATGTATTTAAATAATTTTTTTCATCCCTTCTAAAATATAAAATTTTAAATAAAATAAATTTATAAATAATTTTTTTATTTCAATGACCGTTAAATAGCATTTTAAATACATAGAGTGAAAATTGTACAGATAAAAATTTTATATACTTTTATGAACCATAGGAAATGACAAGTATATTGTAAAAAAATGATTTATAACTGTATACTTTGGGGCTTACTTTCAAAAGAAAAATGGAAATTTATTATTATATTGTTATTGTTACATAACTAAAAGTTATATTAATTTAAAAATGAACGATACAAAACTGTAAACATTTTATTTAGACCATTGTTCATTTAATAGTAAAACAAAAAAATACATTCTTTTTAATTTTTGAAAGTTACTCTTAAAATCCATCATTAAGAATAATTTTTTCTTTAAAGAAATCTTGTCGTTTAATGTTTTTTATAAAAATAAATCAAATTTTAATCTGTACTTAAATCAATTTTCATAACTAAATCTATTTTAAATGCTTTATAAGACTAACGGTTTAGCCAATAAAAAAATTTTAACTCCTTTTAATAATATTTCTATAAAAACTCTAAACGGTATTTATTTATTAAAACATTACCAAAATTCTTTAAATTTTTTCGTTTAACAGAAAAAAAACCTGATTATGAGTTTGTTAACTAACCGAATGGTGTATTATGATTTAAAATCATGTTTAATGTATGCTTATCCACGTATCCCGTAGGAATATATTTATTCGCAATCTCAAAGCAATATTTATATTTTTTCAATTCTGAAACGAATGAAGCAATTTTATTTACTTCCTCAGCACCTAAATGACAAATTTTATTAATATTGTCTTCTGTGATATTTGCTTTCTGTAATTTATTAATACTTGCAATTAAACAATTTCTTCTCAGATAATCATAGCAAAATTTTGGAATCGAGTTCAATTCTTTACTCATAAACAAATAATTGCGTTCTTTGAAAGATAAAATAAGTTCGTATACCTTATTAAAATGACACGATATGTAATTTGTAAAATTTTCTCCAAATAAATTCATATCCATAAAGGATTTAATGACTTTAACAATATTTTGACCCATTTCAATGATTTTATTTTTCATTGCTATTTTTAATTTTTCATTTTTAAATTGAGGAAGAAAAACGAATTTTCTAACTAATGAAACATAAAAACGAATGATTATCATAAATGGACGAACAGTGGCTGTATTTAATATTTTTTTAAATACTTGTACATTTCGCGAGTCAAAATCAAACTTGATGAAACGAAACATATCAAATAACTTTATTTCATAATTATTATTATTTTTTAAGTTCAATGGGGCATATCGAACGACGTCTAAAACATCAAATACCTGTTTGTCACTGTTATATCTAGCATATTGTCTCGATTGAGAACCTGATATAACTTCTAGCTCCGATAAACTGGGACGATTTTCCATAAAATCATAAAACAGGACATTTTTAGGATTAAAATTATAGTAAGATTTCCTTCCAAAAGCTATCGCCAAATGCTTCAATATCTTACAATAACTTTTTAATATTTCATTATCTTCTTCCTCATACATGTCTCTCAAAGTTAAGTATTCATTCATACTTCTAATTATTTTACTATTGAGTTTTTCGAGTTCTTTAAACAATACTTCTGGGCTGCATTTAATTGGTTCTGTAAAATTAGTTAGGGATATGAAATATTTTTGAACTGCTATATTTAAACAATTTTCATTTATAAAATATTCCAATCTTTCTACAATTGAACGATGTAGAATTTTATAGCCCTTTAATAAATTTTGTGAGAGTTTAGACCTATTGAATTCGCCATGTTCGTCTTTACCAATCATATTTATAGATCCTGAAACGTTGTTCAAGTATAAATTTACAGTCATTATATCTGCTGCTATATACTTTTCGTCCATTTCTCGTAATGCATCTAACATGATCATAACAATTTCGCCATGAGATTTTACTGCTGTTCCGTAATTTGTTAATTCAAGTTCAGAAATGGTTTTTTTGAAGTTAAATAAATATTTCTCACTGTACTTGAAATAATTAAATAAATGTTTAGAGAAATTGCAATGCAATTCTATAGAGTCTAAGGAAATTGAACATTTTATGTTTAAAATAACATATATGAAAAGTCTAATTTTGATCATTTTGACGTATACTACACTACTAAAAAATTCAAGGAGTTTTCTACAAAAAACCTAAAAAAAGTAAAACTTCTTTAATAGTTAAGCTAAATTTAATATTGAATTAATTTTAATAGTTTATATGCTTAAAAGAACATTTTTGTATCTTCAAATAATAATCTATTTGTTTTAAATATATTTACTTTGTATTTTAAACTATATATTTCGATATTATTTAGTTTTACGCAATATACTTAGATTACTTTATATAATATAAATTAAAGTTAAATCATTTTTTTTATTTTTAAATTTATTCTCAGTGCACAGCAGAAAAAATATTAATTTTACCATTATAAGTTTATTGTATCTGTCATCCCGTGTACTCGCTTCTACCGAACCAATATTGCTTATTTGTTGTAAATCAAAACAAACCGAATTGGTTTAAATAAAGTAGTAAATATTATTACTGTTGTTATCGAACTTAATATTTAACTTGAATTTTCTAGGGTATACCCTTTAAAATTTTATTAGGGTCAGAAATAAATAAATAAATTTTATAGCAGTTTTATAAAACAGAGAAAAAAATTTTTAATATTTAATATTATAAATGTGATTTTTTATGATATGAATGAATCCAAAGCAACCAAGTATATTAAATCTATCCCTAACTTTATTTTGTCTCGTGCTCTCATTTAATCAAAACCCCTCATATTTCATTCCCAACGTACCCTTCTTCGCTTCAGTACCCTATTTCCTCCTTTCATTTCTCTTCCATACTTTTCTTTTTATTACAACATATAGTCATTCTGTTTTTCTTTCTTTATAATTAAGTATAATTGAAAAGTCGGTTGTCTCCATTTATTTTAGCTTCGATACGAAGCTGAGAAAGTATTAATTTTATTATGAAAACATTACAAATTATATCTAGTTGAAAACATTGCCCTTAAAAATTGAAAAAATTCCTTTGTTCTCTGTAAATGAGGAAATCCCCAAAAATATTACGATTTTTAAAATCGTTAAATTTCGACAATTTTTAAACTTATTTTCTAAACATTGCCATAGCTTAATGAAAAATGAACAAATCAAAATAATTATTTTAGCTTCGATGCGAAGCTGAGAAGGTATTGGTTTTACTAAGATGTGTTTTTTTTTTTTTTTTTTTTTTTTTTTT